CGATCTGCTACACAATATGCTACCCTCTTCCCCATGGTCCATACATATCCATAAAGCCTAGAATTCGTTAAGAAAAATCATAATGAAAAAAAATATTCACAGTTGTACGTCGAGAATGTCAAAAGTATAAACCTGAAGACCAGGAACTTTCAATATTTTGTGAGTTCTCGGTTTTTTCTGCAGAATATAACGATGAAAATTCATTACACCGAATCTGAGGATGGGGGAATTTTATTTTGCTCAATATTTTTTTCGTGCACTCCCTCCATCGGCGTTGGCCCCAGGACTGATCAAACTCGAAGTAGAAATCTCAAATTAAGGGCGGACAATAATGAATTATCATCATCATCAAGGTTTACTCGATTCCATCATCATTAGCGTGAGAAAGATCGAGTGTTCATCTGTCGGGGCTGTGGGCAGATTCGATTAATCCCGGTAAATCCCGAGTAAGACTGATAGTCCGATGGGAAAATTCACAGGAAAACGGGGGGTGAAAAAAAAATCTGAATTTTCTGAAGATGATGTCATCCCGTGACTACACCGGAAATATTGCTGTGAGATCGTAAAGGGACATGTATTCATCCGTTACAAAAAAAATGAAAACAAAAAAAAAAATAATTCAGCCGGGTCCCGGGCAGAGCTGGCGGGTGCTGGAGCTGGAAGGTACGTGCCTGAAAGGGTGTCCTGGGCCACAGGAGAGGGTGCAGCAAACCCAGGGATGTAACCACCCCCCTATCCCCTCAGTCGGTGCACTGGAGTTTCCTCCCTCCCTTATCGGGTCAGTGCCCTCTCGTAACATTGAACCCCCCCGATGCAGTCATGGGCGAGGAACACGCGCATGCGTTAAAAAATTCGTCACCCCTCCGAAACCCGCATATACCACCCCTCAGTTTCCTCTTCCACCCTATTCTCCCCCTTCCCCCCTCTTTCCATCTCCTTCCACCCTCTTCCACCCTCTTCCACCCCCGATCCACCCATCCCGTCCTTTTTTCCGGTTCTCCATTTTTTCGAGTTTCCCTCCACCCAGCCATTTTGCGGGTATCTGTATTCTCGAGGTACTCTTCATACTCTATTTATATCTTCCACATGCCAACACCCCGTTGCTGAAAAATTTTATCGCCAATTTTAAACGCGTCCTCAGAGTAGCCAAAAAGATTGAGTTGTAATAATGATCAATTGATTTTCATAATCATTATTTTAAAAATATTAAAAATGTCGGAATGTTTCGAATAACTCACGCCAGGCGTTCGTTATTTTTGATATTTTTCGCACAGTGAGAAATAAAAAAAAATACACCTCTCGCTTTCATAAACCAGGCCGACATCGATTCCCTCATTACGCGGATGAAATAACACGAGAATATCTCCCCCCAGGTAAAGAGATGAAACCAGCAGCGAGTGTTCATCGTCGATTGTTCCAGAAACGTCACTCGCTATCTATACACCCAAGTACGTTATACCCTCTGGGGTGGTAAAAGTGGGAGGGTGTACAGGGGCAATGGCCCCGTTTCCCACCTCTCGGTTCTAATACACTCGACCTGGCTTTTTCCCCTCATTTCCACCCCGATTGCTTGGCCGCTGCCAGCCAATGCTAAAAACTAGGAATGCGAGTCAAGTCGAATCGAATTATACATCGCGAAAATTCCGATCGAAGTGTCGAATACGAATACGAAATTTTAAAAGAATGTCGTAACACTATCTGTTAAATTTTTATTTTATCTTAATTCTGTCGAACCACCGATTTGAATCAATCCGAAAAATTAACTGGAATCGAGATAAAAAATGTATCGCACCTTTCGGAATAAAACACAATTTCCGGCGTCGATTCCGATTCTTCGACTTTATTCCAGACAGTCCTTCCAACCCCAATTTCTCCAAAAGAAAATTTCCAAAACCCGAATAAAAACCTCCACCGTTATCCAGAATAACAATTAATTATACCAGAAACTGAATAACCTCCAGGAGAAGGTGAGTGACCCCCAGCCCTTTACCACCCGGCAATATGGCGCAGGGGTCATCAATTACCTCCCCCGAGAGTAGCCCGCGAAGAGGGTGAATTTCAGTGAATACTTTTCCGCTTTTCCCCTCTTACGCGTGTGGAGCATAAATATTTCCTCGAAAATGCCCCGAGCTCCCCGAAACGTATGATCGTTCGGTCCCCAACCCCCCGAACTCCCCCCATTTCTGGGTCAGTTGATTGATGTTGAGGGAGAATGAGGGATAGATCATTAGGATAAATGTACTGTAAAAGTTCCCCATCTACACCCTGGAATAATTTTCAACCCCCAAGAATAGTTGTCCGATTTTATCGTTTCTTCTACCGATTTCTGTCGCCAAATGTGGAGCAGAGGGAGTGGAGACACTGGCTAGCTTATGATGTTTGAGCGGATCATTCGAATTGACAAGAGCTTCTGACAAACTTCCCACTCTGACGTAACCGCGCATCGTGAAAGATCGATTCTGAGTCTGGGTCAGTCGAGGGCGTTCAACCCCGCGCGTTCGTTGCAGCCCGGGAGAAACGACTAAAACCCGATGTCGTAGCTTGGGGGGATATATTCGGGCGCTGGGGAAAGCTCTTCTCCGGGGTGCTCCCTCTTCGAGGGATGCAGCGTCCCGGTAGCTTCCCCGGAGGTGTGCAAATTTACCGCTCACCAGCTCGAGACGCTCGGCACTGAATTTCCACGGATACGGCAAAACGCGGACTTTGCACGATTATTCACTTTAATCATTGATTATCAAATCCATTTTTAATTTGATTCAAAACCAAAATTATTGACTCAGTATTCCATATGCACCAATCGGAATCTCCGATTTCAATCTCATTTCGATATTTTTTTTCTTACATTTTCCTAGATTTTCCCGTCAATTCTTCGAGTTGATTCTAGAAAATTCCGAGGGTGCAATTAATTGAACGAAGACGTTGAAAATCCTTGTGAGAAATGATTCCAGACAATTCTGAGGGCTTTTTTTTCTGATTTCAAGATTGTAGGATCGATGGGTATTAATAGAAGCGGTAAATGGGAGCGTTGGAAAAGCGGGAAAATATAGGATCTTCCGCTTTAACCTGGCCGGTCCTACAGGACGCGAGAGGTGAACGATCGACAGGGCGGAACGTGACCTTTTGCACGAAGGATAATGCCAGGAGGAGGCAAATGCGGTGGTGGCTGGATGACGGGATTTAGAGGGTGGTGGCCGCGTACGTGTACCAACCCTCTCTGTGAAAACACTGCTGCCACCACCGGCACACCCCACCCTATCGTGCGCCGTTCGTGCACCCTCGTGAAAACTAATGTACCCTCCCCTACAACGGTAAACCCCCATTACCATTCAATCCATTTTTCACCTTGATGTCACTGCCCCCCTGTCACCCCTATTCCTCGGGCTTTCAACCCATACCCGGAACTCCCAAAAAATTATTCTAATCATTTAACTCATAATTCCTCATTTTTATGCTATTGCAAATTCAAAATTCTGAGCTCCACATGATTATATGAATTTTCAAATATTTCCAAATATTTCCAAATATTTCCAAACATTTCCAAATATTTCCAAATATTTCATAATATTTCAAATTATTTCAAAATATTTCCAAATATTTCTAAATATTTCAAAATATTTCAAAATATTTCAAGACATTTCAAAATATTGCAATTACTGAATTTTCCAGGAATTTTCCGACTCTCAAAGGGAATGAATGTCCATTGACTCGAATGACTTGACTTGAATGGAACACAACGATAAAAATGGAAATGGAAAATTTATTTGAAAATTTCAGAAAGTTTCTGGAAGGGATTCCACCTGGGAGGCACCGATTTTTTTTCCCTGCACCGACATCATGCACTCGATTCCACATATTTACTTGGATGTAAAAACTGTGGGCTTACCGCGGCGGCAGAAAATGAATAGTTTACAGAGAAGTATTCTCAGCACTGCGCTAACATGTCGTGACGGTGTAGGCTAATCAATAAGGGGCTGGAGTTCGATTGGTTATAGTTAGGTAGAGAATCAACCCCTTGAACGATTCTCCTGACGCCGAGCTGTCCCAATCTGAGTGCCATCCATCATTCGATGAATTTGTTAAATCGATGACTAAATAAAACCACCAAGCTCCATCATTCCTGGAATTATTATAAATAAATATTAAATTCTTACAAATTACGAAAGTCCATTATTAAAAAATTATATATTTTTATATTTTTTCTTTTCATCTAATATTTGAAAAATTGCAGAATTCGTATGATAATTATATTATTTTTATTATTTTCTTGAGGATTTCGTATTTTTGAAATTCGAATTAATTGAATTCACATTTTTTTGGCAAATCTGAAATTTTATCATTTTCTGTTTTGGAAATAAGTAATGACAACTCATAAAATTAATGTTTTTAAGAATCAATCCCTGTGGATTAAATTCTTTCGTGAAGAAAAACTCCGTTTCTATTTTGAGACTGTATTCGAGTAATTACGTGAAAATGTTCATTGGGTCATTTACCGGATAATTCTGATTTCCCAAGCGTCATGATAGCGAAGGGCTAATAATTTTCCAGCAGTTGTAGTCGACCCTCGGACACGAAGTACTAGAGTACCTCTCTCTGGTACTGGAGTATTTGATGATAAAGACGGTGTACTACCGTCTTGCGATACATTTGAGCTCCGATGGTAACCCCCAAGTCCCAGAGCATGCGTTTATCCATTTGAGAAGATATTCCGGATCAAATCGTTTGTTGGTATCACGGATGAAAAATTTAATAAAATTCGAGTTTAAATCAAATAAACAATAGAAAAAAAAAACAAAAAAAAAATCGATTTCGTCGTACATTTTTTTAGGTTTCTTTATTAATTTTATTCAGGCATCCTGATTTTAAATGATTGTTTTGGTAGCAATAATTGATCTTGAATAATTTTGAGATTGAAAGGATAAAATAATTGAAGGGAACAGGAGAATCATTTTTTTTGGGAAATAATCTGTACGAAGATGTACTAGAAAAAAAACTCATGAGAGTACTATCAATTTCTTTTATTACGATTTCACGAGATTCACCCCCCATCATTAAAATTCCTTGAGAAATTAACTTGTTTCAATTTTTTTGTCGTTTTCCATTCTTTTTTACAAAATACAAATTATACCTCCAATGGCAAAATACAACTACCCTAAAAGTTTCGAAAGATCGCATCGTTCCACTCGTTTCCATCTAAAAAACACTACTCCCTCGACACATTAAAAAAAAATTATAACAATAACGAAGAACACTTGACAAAATTGCAGTTTTACCAGATTGTGACTAAAATTTATCATCTCCCATCATCACTTCAATATCTTTTAAATCCATTAGGAACAACAGGTGAGATGTGCTTGACATTTTATCTGAATCTTCACATTCCTGTTTTATTATTTATTTCTCGTATCAGTACCTTCTTATTTCGGATAATGCGAGCTGTGATACTTCTCCCCAATTGAGGATAAAGTGGGCAGTTTTATTCACTAGCTTCTTCCCCCCTCAGTCCTGTAAAAGAATATTCGCATTTGTACACGTTGATTCGTTCCAGTTGAATAATAAACTATTGAGTCTTCATGAGGTATTGTTGTTTCTATTGGTCTATTATCGGAGCTGTGATCACTGTTGATCGATAAAACTCTCATAAATTGCGATCGTGAAGTTACACTGAGACAAAACCCTTATTTCTACGAAGAAAATTCACTTGATCCAAAGAAATATTCGCCTGACTATTTTTTTAATCTAGAAATTTGCCAAATAATTTCCTACAGTGAGAAAAAAGTCTTTCAACATAAAGAGATTATTGTTCCAGGATTATTTTGTATTGTTAGCCCACATAGCCATTAGAATTAATATTAGGAATAGGGTTTAAACCTATTTTCATTGTCGGCCTGTTTTCAACAAAAATCCCGGAATCCAAGGGAGATAGTGAATTTTTCGTTCTGACCATTTCTCTGGAGTTAATTGAAAGCCACAAAAAAGGTCATTATCGGCATTTCGCTATCTCTCTCAGTAGCGAAGATATCCCCGAAATTCAATCGATGTATGTTTCAATTCCCCAATATGGACTTTTTACTGTAAATTTGCATCCTCTTGAAACTTCTTTTTCCTCACTGTGAAAACGAAGCGATTACTCCGTAAATTCAACTTTTTTAAGAAAGACAAGAAAATATTTTCCTGCATCAAATAAATCTTATCAAAAAGTATTTATTCCTCAGTGTAGCACTCCACAAAAATTTCGTGAGAGCCTAACATGACCACAACAGGGTAATTGAGTAGGTTGCTTTATTATCCTGTAACAAAATATAAATATTCGGTATGTAATCTGTATCACATGCTTGGCATCATCGTAAATTTAATAATACCCTAGTCAAGAGGCCTCGAGTTAACGCGATGTCTGTGAGTCTATGAATACATGTAAACCAATCTCTAGTTACCAGAGTCAATCAACAAATTAATCCAATTACTCGTCTTGTATTTTAAAATGCTCAACCTTCCTTTTACACCTAGGATTACAGGAACAGTCACAAAAATATTCTCGAATTTTTCCCTTTTCCCTTTCGTATTCACCAAAAATTGTGGTAATTTTGTTCCGCCAATGTTCTGCCTCGATTTATCAATTTTCTTCAGTTTAAAATTCGATTTTCACTTCTCCACCGTGGAACACACTAGTCATTATTTTTTTTTTACGTAATAGTGATTTCGAATGAGCGAGAAAGTGCAACATGTCGAATTTTCGTATCCATTTCTCATCGATTCGTTATTTTTTCCGTCATTCAATGCTTCCCTGCCTTTTCTCATTATTTATATATAGTACATGTGTTCTTTAGCTGCAGGTCATAACTAGATATATATCTACATATATATTTATATATTTATATTCCTAGAATTATGGCTTCAGTCCCTAAGTGATCTGACGCATTATTCTCGTCACTATCATTCATTCATTCATTCATTCATTATTAATTTCCTCTTTCACTCGCCCTCCTCCAAGTAATTATCACGAGACCTCAAGATCTCCTCTCGTTGACTCTCATTTTAGCGCAATCATTTCCCTGTGTCAGAGAGTGGAGGAAGAGGGAAAATGGTGTCAACGTTGAGTTAAGCCTGACAAGTTGGGTAAAAAAAAGCTCGCATCAAGTTAAGCACAATAATTAGGTATACAGCTGTTCTCTAAAGGGAAACCCGTTTCCAACTTTTCACGTTATTATCCTAAAATGTATCATTCACCTATATTTTCTGTATCACTCAACATTCTTCTCTCACAATATGTTAAATTCATAAATATCTTAACAAGCGTACGACTTCAAATATACATAAACTATGGTATTAACAAATTGTTGAGGAGCCTCAATATATCACTTCGTAGACAGTGGCTTTCTTATCACCAGATCCAGTTACTATGAATTTATCGTCTGTTGAGATGTCACAGCTCAGGACTGAGGAGGACTCCTTTGACTGAACAATAAAAGGGTTGAGATGAGTATCGTCAAATGGAGGCTGTTATTTTTTCAATCATAAATTACCAGAAGAATGAAAATGAGAATTACCTGGAATATCGAAGCTCCATAAGGCGTACGCCATGCGTTCAGAAGATTGTCCTTGCCAGTGGAGACAAACCACTTTCCGCACGATGCAAATCGTAACGACAGAACACAGGACTCATGCAGATGGAGCTGATACTTGTCAGGTTTAGTGGCATGAAGGACTTCGACGTTGGAGTTCTCCATTCCAACAGCAAGCCACTCACCAGTTGGACAGTATCCCAGTGAGAATATCTGGGAGCTGAAGTCGTGCTGCTGCAGTTGTCGGCCCTCCCTGAGATCCCAGGATCTGACAGTGTTATCGAGTCCCCCTGTCCACAGTTTGGAGCCGTCAGCAGAGATGTCGATGCAGGAAGCACCATCGGTGTGACCCTGGAATTGCCTAACAAGCGTCTGATTCTGGAGATCCCAAACAGCGATGTTGCCATCACTACAGCAGCTGAAGCACACCTTGGAGTCTGGTGATATGGCAAGAGCATAGCATGCAGGTGCTGCTGAAGTAAGCTCTGCCTTGATCCTAGGTGTGGGACTCGCAAGGTCCCAGATACTGAGATTGCTCGCCTCACCACCGACTATCAGAGTTCTACCATCGGGCAACAGTTTCACTGATCTTATGTAGTTTTCACGCTGGAGACAGTCGAGTTGGGAGACTGGTTTTGCATTACCCCCAGCACCTTGACCAATGTCCCACACTTTTACACATCCTTTACCACCAGTGTACACATACTTTGTCGGATTGGATATGGTCACCGCACATACCACTTCACCGTGGGTCAGAGTGTTTATCTGACGTGCATGACGGGGTATACCAGGACCAATCAGGGCGTCTGGTGGAAAGGGCACTGGTAGCATCTGTCCATCGCTCGCGACATGAAAACTATAAGCACTGCTTAAAATAGAGAAGAAAGAGAAGTTATAATTGCTGTTTCCAGGGAAATGAGGGATCAATTATCCATCATGGGAAAATTAATTTGTTGAAAATTAATTGAGTCAATCCAATTTTTTTCGATTAAATGTTTCGTAATTACGCAAGTCATTCCTTTTTTTTCAAATATTTGGTGGTGTAATATTTTTTTAAATTTCAAATATTCAAGGATATAACCGAATATTTACGAAGAATAGTTGAGGGAAAAAAAATCAAACCAGGCAGCCCTACAAAAGACTAATTAACCTATTTTTAGGAATCAAAGGAACACTTACGGTTTGCCGCCAGGTACTCCAAGTGGCCCAAGTGGTGCTCTCATGGTGCCGTGGGGATCGTAGAGTTGCTGAAGTGGTGGCCTAGCTGGATATCCATTGAGTGCACCTGGCTGATAGGCCAGCATATCGACGTGGGGTCCAGCTGCTGGATGATGCGGTGGTGGATAGTGGGGATAAGGACCAATGGCTGCTGCTGATGCAGCTGATACCAAGGGTTTGCTCGAACCAGTTGCTTTCAAACCACCAGAGCCTGAACTACTCCCACCAGCCGAGGTTGGTGTTACTGGCTTTGAAATTGGCGTTGTTGGTTTCTCACGCTCTTCCATTTTCTTTGCCGATGGTGTACTTGCATTACTACTTGTTCCACTCCTCGGTGATGGTGGAGGCACTTCCTTCTTCAACTGTCCACCCATCGGACCCACCGACGACGATCCCATTTTATCTAGTCCATTCTCTCTTGGGGATGAGGTACCATTCGCCGCTGGACTCGTTGCCTCCTCACTCGCATCGTCCACCACTAGGTCTTGGTCACTTTTCTCACCGTCACTTTGCTGCAAATATATCTCAATTATTATCCAGTGAATTGAGTTTAGCTGATAAAACGTAATTCTTCAAGAAATTGGATTTAAAAAATTGATACACATATTTATGCATATTTTTTTTTTAATTCTAATTCTTGTTTAAAAATTGAATTGAAATTATTGGACACTCACGTGGCCCAAATCCTTCTCCTGCTCTTTCTTCATTTTTTTGTGGAGCATGTGATCGTGATGCTGTGGATCTGGAGTACTTCTCGGTCTACTATATTTTTCCCTCTCCGCTGGTGATATCGAGCTTCTCTGCAAATAGAAAATCCAATTACGACTGAGCTCAGCACTTGATCGATATTAAATGACCCCCAATATTGTTTAAGAGGAGAATAACTTCTCGGGTAAATTCGGTCTCGTTTCCGCTCGAGATGTAAAAGATTTACATGAATATAAGAACACTCGAGACGAATCGTGATCCGGTCCATCTACCCCATCGACCTACCCCTCGTATTCCATTTTCTCTTCCACTTCACATTCAGCGAAACGACTTTGCAGACGGTTTTTCCACCCCCTGGGATTTTAAATTACTTATGGGCTTATTTCTCGTGGAAGTTGAGGTGTGGCTTTTTTTTACTAGGGTGTAATGTGGACTGAAGACTGAGGGAGAAAAAGACTTTTAACAAAGAGGATTTACTTGCTGCGAAAGAATATTCTCCTGTCAATTTAAAAAATCGTATATAGATAATTTATGGGTTTTCAGTGGAACTGAAATTAAAATTTTAAAACTTTATGGAATTTCTAATCATTCCCTGAATTTTCATGATATTTCAGTTTTCCGGTGTACTCAAGTCAAATATCAAAATCAAATATGAAAATCAAATATTTCCTCGATTCTCAGATCGTCGAAACCGAAAAAAAAATTATAATTAATTTTTCGTAATTTTTTTTTATCAGTACTGAACGAAAGTTGATGAAAATACGCAGCAGTCGATCCCAAAAATGATAAAAATGACTCTTGAAAATTGTAACCAGAAGATTCTGTTCCTGAGGTCATCAAAATGAATAATACTCAACCAATAGTGCCAGCCCGCCGATTTATATCTCATTTACGACGGCTGGTGGAATCCAAATATAAAACCAGAATTTCGAACTATTGATGGAGAAATATTCCCAGAGGTAGGAACTTTGGGAAGTGGTCTTCTATATCTGACAATCGTTTCCCCCGAAATTCCCGAAGGGCCATAAGCCAGTGGTCTCGAAATGAATTTCCCTCCCTCCAATATAATATCCCGAGGCCCTCCCATCCCCTCGAACAAGGTTACTCCCATCCTGGCACTATTTTCACGATCAATCCTGTCGCCTTTTTCACAACCCTCCCACCCCCTCCCCTCGAGCAACATCTTTTATTCCACCACCCCGACTGGATTTCAACCCTCGTCTTCATGAAATAATTCCACCGGTCTGTCGTTTCTTGTCATTTTTTTTCCTCTTCTTTCCATTTGGTTTTTCCCCCGGGGGTGGGAATTTATCCGGGCTCTTCTTTCCTCACCACTCCTAATCGCCCCGTTCGCACCCACGTCAAGCATCCCCACCTCACCGTCCCTTTTATTCAACCCAAAGCAGAGGAAGTAAATCTCCTCTTCTCAATTACCAGACCCACACCATCCCTTCTTTTTCAACCCCCTTTTAACCGCCCTCACGCTCGCCCCATTACCCCCAGTGCTGGCACTGGGCAACTCCCCCACGACTTTGCCGACATACTCTCAGTCGAGTATTCACACCCCCCGCGTCCTCGTAGCGAATAAAATGGAATGAAAATTAGGGGTGAGGTGGGAGACCAATGGGGCGAGGTATTCACGTGGAGAACAACCCTCGGGAGAATCAATTCCTTGTTTTGGCGAATTTCATCCCGCAGAGAGAAAAAACCATAAATTACGTCAAATTTTCGTAATTCTCTTAGAAATTCCATTATTAATTCATTATTATTGTTATTATTAGTAATATCGCTGAATTTAATCAATATATTTTTAATGTTTATTTAATTGAATAATTGAATTTAGGAATATTATTGATTGTATTATTGAAATTCTTGAATTCCCTCGCGAGAAAATTAAAGTGTAATTTTGTAGTGGTGGATTCTTGGGGGCTTTTAAAAATATCAACAAATCTCTTTCCATTTCCTCGAACTCATCGAAAAGACATAATTTCCAAAGTCTGTACTATCGTTGGAAGCAAACGATGTTTCTCCATTAATCCTCTACGCCCCAGTATCATCGTACACTCAAGTTTCCAACACTAACTATCGCAAAAGACAGATAAAAGTAAGTACACGTCTCCAAACCTTATTGGAAGTGACCCTAAATTCCGGCATTGGTTATCGGAGCTCACCAGAAAGGGCCCTTTCATCACTTTCTCGTCTTTAAGAGCGATGGAACTAATTTCAGTGGGTTTGATATGGAGATGATTTCTCCGAGAGCACTCGTCCCCAGATTATGGTGGAATGACTTTCTAAAGAATCTGAAGAATAAAGTGAGAGAGGGAGTGGCGATAAAAAACCATGCCGAGATGTATGTCTAGGAAAAAAAACTGCTGACTCAAACTGATTTGAGGTACGATTCAGGTAGATATTAGGACTTCTGAATATTGACCCGTTGAATAAAGTTGGAAAGTCAGGTGAACGCTATAAATTTTATTCAATAATAATATTGTAACGAAAAAATTTTCGAAATAAAAAATAATCGAATTGAGTCAAGTCAATAAATCAATTGGAATCAAGTTAAAAAAATGGACTTGAGTGAAAGTTAAAAATCAAGATAAATGAGGGGAATTAATTTGAATGGTGTTGTGTCTGGCCAAACGAGGAGTCACATGCAGCAACCCAATTTTCAGAGCAATTCAAGAGGATTTTTCGATTTGATTCATACCGAACTTCAGTTGTGGTACAAGGAGGTTTGAGTGAGGCGTGAGTGGTGGAGTATAAAGAGGCTTTTCCCCCGATCAATAAGGGATCCTCAGAACCGGCGAGACGTTAGGGGAAGACACTTTCAACGGAATATCCGTAGTGTTAGGGACAACTTGGTCGGCAACTTAGCATGCAAGGTCGGATACTGAGACGTCGGAGTGAAGTAGGATAGGTATATCACGAGGGGGGTGGATATAGACCACCGAGGGGATGGTTTGGTGGTCTTGGTGGTCGGAGGCCATGCCGCGAGGCCACCAGGGTGGTAAGTGAGTGAAGCAACTACTTCGCTGGTGGCGCCCTTATACACTCCACCTCATCCTACCCCATTCAAACTTATATACATGTACGTGAGTATATACTCCATGTAAAGCCATTCCACTGGGCGCTCTCTATTCCTCATCCCACTAACTTCTACCCAAGACTATTCTGCTTTCTTTTCCATCCCCCGACCTACCCCCGACGTACCCCCGCAAAACCCCAGCTGGTACAAGATTGCACACAGAGGTTCTCAATGCATTTTAACGCTATGCATTTTCTTTTTATTTTACCCTTTATCAAAATTTATCAGCCATTTTATACCGAATCACCCGACGGTTCACCTTCACTACCAATTTAAGAACGGGAAAAACGTTTTTTTTTTAATACACTGTTATGATTCAATTACCCGATTATGTTTGTTATTTTATGTTATCCTCTGGTAAAGAATTATATTTCTAAAGAATTTTTCATTGGTGAGTGATTTAATTCTGCAATAATTAATATTCAAGTAATTCCCAATTTTCAGTCGACCAGAGCACTGATGGATTTCGAAATAAAAAAAATTCCACACGTCAAACAAACATTACCATATCGTTACCCATAACATTACCCATAACAACTCAATTCCCTGGACAAAAAAAAAAATTCAGTTCTCCCTGTTCACACCCCGTAATTCACCCCCATTCAAATTCGACGTTTTCCCCAGTGCACCCTCGAATTGTCACAATAACCCCCTCCCCTAATTAACAAAACCAGCCCCGAGGACACCGGAAAAACATCATCATCCCTCCCCCATAAAAATGACACCGTCAACCGCCTCCCATTCCACCTCCCCCTCAACGTGTTTATCCGCGTTTTAAATTCCCTATTATTTTTTTTTTTCACCACCACGTCCCCCGAACGGCACACACGAACCGTTGCAGCGGTAGGACGATATAAACGGCATTAAAATCCGCCATACGAGAGTGGGCGGTTGGTGGGTCAAAAAACGAAAAAAAAAAAAAAAAAAATATTCCCGGCGCCTCCACGAATTATTTAACGACTCGTCGTAAATACAAGCTCAACTCTCTCTCCGGCACGAATGTACACAGTGTATACGTCCACATGTGTTTTTTTTTTTCACCCCTGTATTCCCCATTTCATCCTTTTTCCTCCCTGCAGCCCACAATTCCCCCAGACCGCTGGGTGGCGGGTGGTTGGGGGGGATGGGGTGGTTGGGGGGGGATGGGGTGGTTGCTGGGGGACGGCGGGACACGGGGAGAGGAGTGTTTCTGTTCTCTGCGGTGGAATTTGCATTTTTAAATTAACTCGCTTCTGTTTGCAGCTATCTCGGAGTGGCACACACCAACGGCACTCACGCCGGAGGAAGGGATTTTACAATTTTATGCAACAGCGCGTCGCAGTCTGCGCGTCCAAAAAACCCAAGCCCCAACGCTTCGCCTCGGTTATCGACATTGTTATTATTGTTATTATCCTCGTAGAACCGCGAACCGAGTGACTGTAAAAAACAAAATTAAAAAAAAAGGCATCGATATTGTCACCATCGCGGCGATCCCTCCAATTTCGTTTATTTTCGTTTTGCATTTTTTTTTTCCCGCCCCTCTCCAACACTCATTCAATATATATATATTTTGTTTCTCCGCGTTTTTAACGAGATCGGACTAACGATCCTGCATCATCAAAATGTTACGGCCAACTCTATCCAATTTTTACGACTATTGCGGCATATGTATTCAAAGGAGTACACGTGTATCTATAGCATTTTCAATCATAAATATTTTTTGAATTTACGAGGGATTTTTATTTCACCGGGTTTTTCTCCGAGTTCACTGTGCATTGAATGCAAAAAAATGGGGATAAAGAAAGCAAAAGGCAGAGCGGTAATTGAAAAGCCCGCGGTGATCTCGCGATCCTTCTGTACACTCGCCCCTTTTTTTTTTTATACTTCTTTTTTTTTTCAGGAGAGTTGTTTTCTCTCGTTCTCTTTGAGTGCGCCTTTTATCTCGATTTTGCCTTTCTAACCCGCCCTCACATCTCCAACCCCCTCGTCCTCTTTATGAAGTCAGGAGTCCAATAACAATGCCACCGAGGAGCGCAGTTTCGCGTGGATGAACTTTTCGGTATTGCGTATGTAGTCGGAGGTAAATGAAAGAGTGGGGAAAGAACGAGACAAATGCTGTTGCAAAGTGGTGATGTCGTCTGGTCGGGAGGAGTTTTATATTCAGATGTTTGAAAATGTGACGACGAGACCGTGATTTCAATTCCAATGTTAAAATCTTTGGGAGAGGGATGAATAGTCCTCAAAAGGGGTAACTGGGGGTGGCGATGTACTGGTGAAAATTTTGTCGCTATTTCCTGCGAGAAAATTCGAAATAATTCTCACTGAAAAATATCCATTGAATTTAATCCTTCAAAATTATTAGAATTAAAGATTAAAAATTTGTGATTTATTTCAATAATCATCATTTCATTTTTGCTTGTTTAATTCAAAAATTCATGAGCGCATTACTAATAACTCTCCAATAAATCCAACGCTCATGATCCATCCGCCGTCCTCCGCCATCTTGTTAAACGAATTAATGCTTGCCTAACAAGATGAGAGGGTGTCGGTAAGACAGGTCGAAGGGTAAAATTAGCGAGTGCCCTTCCGTATCCAGCGGGCTGTGTGTTTGGTGAAGTGGCACGATAGGATAATAGAGGGTTGAAAGTCGATGGGAAGGGAGGGGGTGAGAAAGGTCGACACCCGACTGGTGGGGGATGGTTTGAAAACTTGACGGCGTGAATTAGTTGAACCCCCTAAAAAGGGGGGTGGAAGGGTGTCTGGGGTATGAGAAAATGACAGCTATGCCAGGTACCCGTGATCTCTAACGCGCCCTTTTCAACCCTTTCACAGACGCGTCACCCTGCAACTACAGCCCCTTCTTTACCCTGAGCATACTCCATACAGCTTACATAATGCAGCCCACTCTAATTAAAATAAATTACACCCCCACGTCGACGTTAACATTTTTTATACTCCCCGACACCCTCCCACCGCCCCAATATTCTTTTAGAAACTCTTTCCTCTTCATCCGCTTGCCTCCACTTTGCACTTACTCCCATCTTCCTTTCTTCATCTCCTTTTTTTTTTTTCATTTAACCCTCATCTAACCCCTCGGTTTATACTGAAGAGTTTTTAAGGGTAGTGGGATTTTTTTTTATCCCCCTCCCCCCTCCCACCTCTCGCTTATTTGCACTTTATTCGAGATTTAATTTGCAGAGGGAAACGTCACCCGAGTTTTCAACACCCACGTCAATTCCTCTCGCCGTTTCCTCCATTCCGCTATACTTTTTCACTCGTTGATAGGATTCAAAGAGATAATGAAAAGGGGGAGGAAAAAAAAAAGTAAAAGAGAAGAAGGGATTCCAATGTGAAAATAGACGGATGGGAAAAAATAGCGTGAATATATCTTTTCGGTTGGGGGGTGAAAGGAGGAAAAAAAAAGAGAGTTGTAGAAAGAGAGATGGAGGGAGGTATGAGAGGAAGAAAGAATTGACGATTGATTCGCTATTCCCTGCTATCTACCCTCACCCTCACAGACATTTCATCGATATTTTTCCAACCCCTGCAGCCCCCTAGTCCCCTATTCCGGAGGGATTTGTTCCCTCTATAATGAAAAAGCATATTGCATTTTTTCGTTTATTTTATCCTGTTGCATTGCGGCCTGATCACTGGAGTCTATTCCTCAAAACTCTCCCTGAAAAATCCCTTAATCGACTACTCTCTATTTTATTCGATCGCAACAGCAAAGGAACGTTTATTAAATTTCTCATGCATTCAATGTAATTATTTTTCATTTTTTTATTAATACGAGATTATCCACACGTGCGTGCGACCCCCCTCCCCCCGTAGGTAAAATCTATCCAATAATTTGGAACTTCCCTTGGTTTTCGCAATTTTTCGAATCACGGCCATTCGAGATATTTCGAGATCGATTTCCTTTCTCCTTTTTGTATTAAAAAATAAAAGATTAAAATAAAAATCAATAGTTCAACATACAATATATAATATCAATTAAAAAACAAAAAAATAATTGAATACTATGAATAATTAAGTGAAAGCGCTCTGTTCTCTATTCAAAAAATTAATTAACTGATTCGTCAACGAATTCTCCATAAATTCTACGTCACTGTCAAAAGACGTCAAGTGTAATTTTCTCCCAGAGTATACATATTTCAATTTTAAAATGCACCTTCCCATAATAATTCCCCTCGCATTTATAAACGTCCAATCCGTGACAAAAGAGCGGTAGAAAAAAAAAATAGCACAGGAATTAGACATCACATGGGGGTAACCCAAGTTGTATTATACCCTCCCAGTTATTCCCAGTGCTTCACTCGCATGTAGTTAAAGCGTCCCCCCAGGCCGGATGAAAGCCAAGCGACGAATGAATGGCCATGGCGTGTTAAAAAAAAAAATCAACCCCGAAAAGCGCCTGGTTACAAAGCAAATGAGAGAACGACGACTGGGGGATGGCGGCTAAAAGAGAAATAGAGAGGGATGAAGCGAGTTCGACGTCCGTTTATTAAAAGCACTTTCTGAAAACGTTAACGCGCTTACCACGACCCACTTTATCCGCAGATTCAGAAGCGCTCATGTCTGATGCAGCGAGCGTTGAAGTCCTTTTTCAATTATCATGCTTTTACAGAGAAAGAGAGATAAAAAAAAAACGAGAGAAAGATGGAAAAACTGGCATTCCACTCCCCTGAATTAATTAACGAAGGCATAAGAAAATTAATTCAACATGAAAACGCACCGGTAATTTCCCCGGCTAACAGCTTGAGAAGTGATTTTCACGGTGATTATTATCGCATTCTTAAATACCCTACCCCCTTTCTATGCTAGTTGATATCGAGAGCATTCGACGGTGTGTAAATCAGATAATTCACGGAGTGGGGAAAAGGCATATCGACCGGTTTTCAATGTTTGTCCATTGGTGTGGTGGGTATGAAGTTGGTAATTAGAGGAGCGTTTAATGGCCAACAATTATTGCAGATTGATAACGCTTCGGTGGATAGTGGCTACGATTAAATTCCCGATACAGACGTTAATAGCTTTTCCGTAACGATGATTATACCTTGCCACTTTCTCACGCTCACAGAAAAATCTACCTGCTATCAAGAGAATTTATATCACCAGTGAAAAACTTGGGGTGCACTTTTTTAAATCAATTTATGACGGCTTTCAGGTGAGAGATTGTTGATAGTCGAATTACGGAGTAATGAACTTGAAAAATAAATGAAATTAAAAATAGTTTTGCACCATTCAACATGGACTCATGAATTTGATTCAAATCACAGAATTTACCCGATTTTTTTTGTTAAAAAAAATATAGACCAATTCTGTGGAAAAAATGTTATGGTTAGCTTTGAAAAAATATATCTGCATTTGAAAGAGACTCTGAGAGGAGCGAAATGCCGAGACTAATCAGTTTCAGAAATGAATGGAAGGGGCTTAACTTGGAATTAGGGGTTCGATATCACAGCGAAATTGAAGCTCGTAGGATAATGATGTCGGCTTAATTGCGAGTCTGGGAGTCCCACCATCCCCTGCGTTCCAGGGTAACCGATCTACCTCATACCCCCAACTATTGTAACCTTGCAGCGTGAGAGGAGTCATTATTAGTGATTAACCCTGCCAAGAGTATTCAGGAGTGCTTGGATTGGATTCAAGGCACTTGATGAATATTTCCTTTACAGTACTCATGAATTTTTAATAAGTTACTTACATGCCTCTCCTCAGCCGGATTTAATCCTGTAACCAAAAGAAAGATATTAAATTACTTCTCATCTACAATAAGCCAATAGATTAAATTAACAAATTGTGGGAATGATTTTTCCTTAATTATATTCATGATATTCCCCGAGACGAATTTTATTTTGGTACGGAAAAATATTTCTCAATTTGTGTCATATCGATAAAAAAAATTCAGAATGATCAGAACGTAAAAAAAAATAACCAAGTCGTCAATAAATAATTCTACAGATATTTCTCGTCACAGTGTTGTTAAAAATTTCGTTTTTTATTTGAAATTTCAAGTGTAATTTTCCAACCGTGTAAAGCTTGAGAATTAGATAACGTATTAACGCTACGAGTTGATCTAATTCAGAGGAAGCAAATAATTTCTAAGAAGCGAATTGGAGGGCTCTCGTGAGCAGGTGAGGGTTGCTCTTCGAATCTTCAAGCCTAGAAGTACCTTGGCAAAGCTGTTATGCAGAATATAAGTTGAAGGAGGTATACAGGTTCAAAGGATGTGGGAGTGAGGCCACAGATGCCGCAGCTTTGTCAGCATTCCACCAAGATTGAGCTTCAACACGTACAGTGTTGAAAGAGCCAAGTACGTTACAAGTTTCCAAGATAATTTGGAAATGGAAAGAAACAAAGCCAATGTGCTCAACGAAATTGTGAGGATAAAGTCAGGGTTGATCGTGCCGTACGTTTTTTTTTTTTTTTGACTGTTGACTCAAGGGGAAGTGGAATGAAGAAACGAAGAGGCAGAGATAAAAGGGCTGTGACGAGGGGCAGGATATCTGAGAATAAAACGCTCGGGTTTTCGGGTAAAGTAGATGAGTAAACATTTGAAGAGCAACTCGAGATGAACAGACATGGCAGGAATGAGCAGACATGGGTGGAAGGGCACACGAAAAATATCAGACTTTATTTTCTCAATTGTGATAAATATAACGTTCAATGGCTGAATGTGAGACCAACGTGAGTCTTAATATAAAATTTTTAGTGATTGACTCAATGTTTGGACTCAACTCCGACTTTGACATCTCAAAAAAAAAATATGGATTTTAATCAACCGTTTGAAAATCGTAAAAACTCACCACCATTGGGCTTGAGATCATCAGGCTGACTCCTGTGTAGCTCTGGCTTGGCCAGCATAGAGAGTGGATGAGCAGCAGCACCAGCCGGATTGGCACCAGCACCTGGTGGAAGACCTAGACCGAGTAGAGCTGCTGATGCCGATGTCGGTACAGGCAAACCACCACCAGGTCCAAGACCCGATAATCCAGGAATACCCGGATGTGGCCCCATTGCAGCACCAGGTGGCAATTGCTGGGCATGCATCTGCTGCAATAGCCTTGGCAAATCTGGCCTCTGTTGCTGCAATCATAATTCATTAACTCACCATTACATGTCACTGAATCCTTCCTTTTTTTGTCGCCCACATGGCAATTACCTTGTGTAAATAGCGCAAAGCAATGGCCAGACAAAAAGAGTTGGAAGAGTTTAAATTGAATACGTGGGCTTCGTTAACTCACTCTGTGTTTGCAGAACGTGTCAATTATTTTCATCGATACGTGAATAAATCTAGGGATCGATGAGAAGAAAAATGAGGGAAAGGATGAATTAATGAATGAGGGAATAAAAAGAGGCATTTTAAATCTATTTGCATCTGTTATAGAGTTGGAATGGAGTGTAGGATGATGACAGATAAGATGAAATAGCATCTGCAAGTGATAATATCGTTCTGATAGTGAATTAGTAGATCGTGAAAATGAAAAATAGTGAGTGCACGCCTCCAGACACAAGAGTAAACAGTTTCATCAGTGTTTGGAGGCAGATGTAGTAATAGTGGCTTGGCGGGCAGAAGTTAACCGAGTATATGTTGGGCTGAATGAAGGCTGTAGGGTTGTCAGAGGCGTCTGTGCAAAATCCGAGGGGAGCGTGTACACTCGTTAGTGAGAATTCGAGCTGTTGGAAATACGTTGTACCAGGGGAAAGACTACTGGATGGGGGATGACATATAATAGTACAATAGCATGAGCAAGATGCCAGACGAATATTATGTCGAGCTGTTTGCCTGGTATAATTGAATAGCTCGACGAAATAATAACTTCAGCATTAAACTGAGAATCTCTTGGAATACAATTTCGATATACCTCGCTGTGAGGAGTAACTAGAAAATAAGTGGAAAGACGAGTAACAAGTTGAAATGAAGGAATTGAAATTGCTTAATCATTGAGTTTCTGGTCTCAATTCATGAAAATTGTTGGTAGAAGTGGCTGCTCTATACCAGGAATACGTTTTCTGGATTCTACTGTGCCACTCGGATCAGCAATTCCAGCCTGGATGCTATAAAGAGAAGGAGCTGACTCTGCGGAAGTGAAAACGAAGGAGCACGAGAAAAAAAAGAAAAAAAAAACGGGAGTCACGGGGGAAACACGATCCGGTGAATTTGGACTTTGAACTTGCGTTTTATACAACTGTTTTATTAAATTCAACGTGAGAGGTTTTACGCAATTGTCTGTAATCACCTTATGGATGAGGGATAGCTTGAATTTTATAACTCTTTGGGGAAATAAAATAATGGATTTGAGGGATTTATGGAGAGATCAGTAGATGAGAATAGCTCGTTGTTATGACGAAATAGTTGACGGGTTAACGGCGACAGCAATTGAATTGAAAGACAGGGGTAACGGTCGGTAAGAGTGATTTTCATGGTGACAAGTGTGAACCCCCATAGAATGTAGTTGGTGCCGAGTTGATTTTGGGGTGTGTAACGGTTAAGACTTACGGAATGTACAGACATATGAAATTTCTCGTGGGACAGATGTAAGGGTAAAAGAGAAGAGGGGCAAAGCCGGATAACAAGGGAGAATGAGAGAGTAAAATGAAAGGAGTGAGATGGTTGTGGGTTAAAGGAGCCGGTTAAGAGGTACTCGGCTGCCAGGGATACTTGTATCCTGCTAAGGATTTGCGGCACGTACCGACAACGTCGTGCACACAACCCTTGGGTACTAAGTTTCTCTCTTACTCCGTGCTTTCCACTATATACCGTCTTTCCATGACCGGGGTTTCGAGCATGGAATGTTGATTAGTCGTTGCCCGAGCACTGTATAACACTATAACTTATCCAACCAAGGGTGCACACCCACTCCAAAGACTTGGGTATAAGATTCTGAAGGGGGTGGATAAAGTAGGCAAACGAAAGAGGGAGATGGCAGTGTGTGTTGGAACGAAGTGAATGAGATAGAGAATCCGGGGGGTTGGGGTGAAGCCCGCGGCTTAATAGGGAGGAAATTGAGTGCTCCAGCAATATTGAGGAGGATTTGCGGATGGTAGTACCAGGATGGAGCGTATCCACTCCCTTTTAGATTTTACCAGTGCATATCGGTTTTCGTCTTTGACTTAACGCCATTCGTTCTCATTCACACGCAGAGATGTTCAAGAAAAAATTAACAATTTTCCAACTAGTGTGAAATAATGAAGTGTTAATTTTGTATGGGAGGTACAGTTTTGGGGCAATTGTTCTCCCGGAAAATTGATGACATTCGAGGTATTCAGATTTAACGGGTGAATCATTCAATTGGATCTAATGAATGATTGTTATTAGGCAGATCGGTGATAATTTGTACTCGGATAATTAGTGATAATGTATATTTTCATTACATACCCCGATTATTGCGTTTAGCTCTGACATGGTGACTTGCTTTGCTCGGTCAACAGCTGTCATCACTTGCTGATGCTGTTCCTGGGACAAATAGGGTAGAATTTGGCCGATAATGCCATTCAGCCTCTTGGCTATTTCCGTCTGAAACATCAAAGACATTCACAATTAACATCTTAATCTCAGGTAATGGAATTCACTATTATGGAAATGACAAACATGAAAGAAGCAGTCGACTGCAATATTCAAGGGAGAAAACGATCCCGCAAATTGAATCCCACATTTACCGGACGAAATTTGTCAACGTCAAGACCACACTGGAAAGTCCTATTCCCTTTTGAGAGACTCGTGAACCAACCCACCACTGATTCTCAGTTTTCCACTCGCCAAACGAATGACTATCATTGAATTAGAAAATGGGACTGGAAACGAGGTTAGAGATAAATTCGAGAAAATGAGAAATCCATGTGCTACTGGGGGGTTGTATTCACTGTTCAGCTGGAGTAAGATTGACACGAATTAAATTAAAACAACAGGAAGTACGAAGGTCTCGTCGACGATCCAATCTCCGGCGACGACTAACCCAATTACTCAGACAAACCGTCGAGATTTAACTCCGTTCTTTCCACCCGTTTTTCCGTCAGTTAAACTGTCACGCCAACACCAACACGCTTATAACTATTATCTTCAACTTCTGGAGGTTCTGAATTTTCCGTGGTTTTCATCAACTCACCGGACCCATTCGTCAGGACTTGATTGCATACAATAATAAAGACCATTTTTTTTCGTGATAAGCACGAGAAATGTATTTTCAAAATAAATTTCAAAATTCAATTTTTTTAATCAACTAACAATTGATTCGACATGCATTCGCTTGGCAACCGAAAGAAAAGAAAATCCACTCTGAAAAATAAATAGAAAAAATAATATTAAGGAATAGGGGGGCATGAGTCCCCACAAATTTCAAGACACTTGGACTCTAACGATGTTCATTACTGCGTACTCGCTTTCTCGGCGATTCCAGTGGCGTATATTTCCGATTACGCTCACGTAAGCGGGTGGTAGTAAAGTATGAAATAACCCCTGGGTTTTCGTGTCATAGCGCTGTTAATGGGTCTGGCACGGAGCCCTTACCACCCGTCGCCCTTAAACGAGCACCAAAAAGTGCGAAGGGAGAGAGCCCCAAAGAGAGGGTGCGCCAGTAGTGACGCTAATTGAAATATCGCAGCCACGAGTGTAACCCCCGTTCTCCCCTCGACTAAGGGGGATGAAATAAGTGGAGAAAGGCAGGAAAAGGGGGCGCAAAGTAGAAACAGCCGAGCTAAATCCGTGGTAGGGTAGTTGTTGTTTAATTACTCGTTGTCTTTCACTCTTATCCAGCAGAAGTTGTCATCAAGCCACTAATTATAATGTAGAAAAGAGATTGAACCGGTGGACAGTGGACAGATTGGTCTGAAGGCTTTTATTCCAATGATTCTTGGTTTCTAAAGAGTTGCAATTGAAAGAGAATAAATGGAAATGCGAGTATGAAATACTTTAGACGAGACCGAATGAAAAAGATGGAGTCAGAATACCAGGAGACAATGGTGAAAAAAGAGAAAAAGAAAAAGAAGGAAAAAAGGAAGGAAGTCTGAAGAATTGCAGGTAACAGAGATGAAAAAAAATGAAAAATAAAAAAATAAAAACTGGTGGGAAAGGGGAGGAGGGAGGGGGGGGGGGATGAACGTGAAGGCGGGGAGCAGCTGCAGACGTAATTGCGTTGCCAAGAAGTTTTCCCCGGGCCAGAGGTAACCAAGAAAATAATGAATGGAGGGGCCAAATGCAAAGGGGCGAGGTTTCACTCTAGCTACTGCTGCCTTTTTTCCAGGGCTACCAAGTTGTTTTCATACTACACCCCGAGTGCTTTATCATATTTTCCTTTTCGCCTTATATATACTTATTTAATTTCACCCGAGTTTGCCATTTTACCGGAATGACGGATATAACTTTATGATTAGTTATTGCAATCTCGGAGGGGTTGACTCAAGCCTAAACAGCCGATAAATGAAGAAAGCACAATGGAGTGACAAGTGGAGGGTAAACAGAAGTGAAGAGAAAGGTGGAGAAGAGAGAGAGATGGCCATTGAGATGATAAGAAAGGCGGGCTTTACTGTTAACCAAGGCGAAAAGTCGTGGCATGAAAATGCAAAAGAACGTGGGATACGCCGATAAAATTTTTCACCAGTAAAACGTTGACGTGAACCGAATACTTTCCAACCCACCTCATTCCATCCTCAATTTTTCCTCTCCCCGTTTCACCCTCTTTTCCGTATTTTTCCCTCTTTTTCCCGTGGTGATCCTTTTTTTTTTCTCGTCTTAGTACTAGCTGACTATACCACTCCGCTTTCTCGACGACGTCGATACTCCAATAATCCAATACTCTATCCAGCCTCGAATCACGCCATCCTTGTAGACGAAAACCCCCTGGCTCATACCTACATGTAAAAGGATATAACATTCTGCCGTTATATACCAGTGAAAGCCGCCCTCCACAGAGTCTCTCCATATTTTTATGATTCTTTTTATTTCCCTTTTATTCAAGCCAACCGTGAGCTTTCAAATGTCGGTACACTCGACTCTTGTTTATTTTTTTTTTTCTTCTGCTTTTTTTTAACCCCATTTCCGAAATATTTTACGATGGCGGTTCTACTGATATCGAAAGCACGACAGCAAACTGCGGCGATATTGATTTATGGTGAGCTTTATTTTTCTTGTTCATGATAATGGCGGTGTCCAAACAGAGGCTCCTCTTTCGGTTGAACTTTCAAAGGGATACAAGATGAGACATCGGAGTTGAGTGGTGGATTGTTGTGGACGACAATATGTGCAGTGGTATTATTGAAACCCGGGGCCCAGGAGAGACTGTTGGATCGACTATTATGTACTGAGGTTCCAGGGTAAACAAGACTCAATCAATTCCCGGTGCCCGTGGGGGTCAATGGGCAGCACCATCAGGAGATTCGATGTCACTGATGCTAACTCAAGTGATACAGACCTTCATTCTAGGGTATTCGTCGATACTCGAGATACATCCGAAGATGAAAAATAAATTTCAGACAATCGAAAGTGGCAAGCATTTCAATGCAAAAAATTTTCAGACTTCGCGTGAAAACCTAGTGATTTGACACGTACCAAAGTCTAACAAAAGATTTTCCGGAATCTTAATTTGAGTCATTGAAGTTCCAACATGAGACGATTATGTTTGAGCAGTTTAACCACGAGTGGAATGATCCTCGAAATAAAATTTGACTTTCCTAGACGTAGAGATAAAAAGAATAGTCGTAATTTGCATAGAGCAGACGACTCAAATCTCACGGAACAAATGCACGTGAAGAGACAAGAATGAAAGCGAAGTGGTCATGGACTGGGCAAAGTAGGACTTGACAAAGCTCGGGTGGTGGATGAGTGGTGCTCGAGGGAGGGCGACAAGTACCCGAGACAGACGGCGAAAGATCGGGATGTTTGGATGTTTGAGATCCTCTTCGACGAGTGCCACATCAGCACTCGAAGCCCTCGAGTCACTGTGAGCATGACCCACTCGTGACATCAATTTCTTATTTCTCAAACTCGTACATTCGCCCGTTTGAGTCACAGCTGGCCACGTCACGACTCAATCCCGATACTTGATCAAAAATCGAGATGAAAATCAGGAATCCACGAGGTCAGAAACTACAGTACTTGAGTCACCTCAATTGAAGCAGCTCAAGTCCACAATGTAACAAAGACTTGGGGGATAACTGATGGAGACGTTGATACCCAAGTACAGAGTGCACCGTTGGACAGTCCCACTAACACACTCATCGAGTGGTCCAAGTTCAAGTGTGTGGGTGAATGCGGTTTGGTGTTCCAGAGGGCAGTGGCCACTCTCTGGTTGAGGCGATGCGAGGCCACTGGTGACCACTAAGCTCACCTGATATATCCAAACCTCTCCACTACAACTACTCCTATCATTCCCCTCATTCTCCATCTCCCTTTGTTAGCCCATGGTCATCCTTTCCTTTACACTGGCCCCATCCAAACCCGTAGCCCAGAGCTTCAAACCACAAGCCACAACGGGCTACTGCCCTGATTAAACGCGCCATACACCGCCATTATCGCTGATTGCGCTAAACATTATCGGACTTACCACCGCGTACCATAGTCCATGCACGAGAGTACTAGTACAATTGGATTTTCAGGTGGGGGAAGGGGCAGAATAGGATGGAGAGAATTGGAGAGTGAGGGAGAGTGAGGGGGTGGATTGAACGCATGGCTATCGCACGTGCGTCATCTACCCATGGGACAATTATTGGCTGGCTTGTGGGGGCTTTCGGCTTTTAGTGCTACCGCTTCACCTCCTCTTGTTACCATTTTCACTCTCACCCTTCGCACTACACGAGAATTCTCGATACTGTGACATGCTAACATACTCAATCTGGTGGTGTGGGGACAGTGTGGGGAAACCTGATGCCTTCCTGGCTGCGGATTCATCATCGTGGTTGTTTCATTGGTGACACTGTTGGGGGATTGGTTCTACGATTATTTCGACTTTATGGAGATGACTGGGCTTGGCTAATCGCTCGTTGGCGGAGTGAGACTTATGATTTGGGGATTATATTGAGTTTTTATCATGAATTCAGTTGATTGATTTGAAGAAAGTCAAGGGACTCGGCTTGTCAGATAAGTCAGGGTGAGTCAAGTGGATTTTTCAGATTGATTAAAATTTATGTGTTGGCTCCATTCAAGTCTATTCGTCGGTTGGACAAATTGAAAAGTCGAAAAATTAAAAAGTCAAATAATAAATAATAAAAAATTGTCCGGTGAAGATTGAAATTTGATTTAAATCGTTCATTTTCTTGGGCGTACAGTGAGTGGTATTATTTCGAGTTCTGCTCGTTCACCGTGGGAAAGTCGAGTAAAGTTGTGACGAAGTTGGTAACAATTTTAAGTGTCGTCTACAGGGAGACTACTTAATGTATATGGGTAGATGTAATTAACGGTGGCGTTCATCAGTGGCGCATAACAAGGTGGCTGTGGCCAGAGCAGCCCCTTGTTCTCCCACTCATTTACATTTGCACTCAGATCCCCAGAGGCCCTCCGCAAAACACAAATTAGCGTCGCACAGTCTGCGCTCCGGGAATTTAATGAAAAAGTGTGTATAACCGCATCGACAATCCCTGAAATTAACGCAAATTGCGTACGTCGATTAGAAACTAGTGCGTCTGACTTGCAACGGAGTTATCTACTTATCAGCATTTTCAAAAGCTCTTAAAAAATTTTCAGCAATGTGCTGTTAAAAAAAAAGTAAAAATACCACCCAGAAAAATGAATAATTTCAAAAAACAAAAATCTTTATCAATTATTAATAAAAAAATTTGAAATAAGAATTAATTTTTAATTTGAAAAAACGCCTACTTTGTGATGGATGATTTGAATGAAAGCATTTCTCTGGACGCCAGTCGTGTAATTTTATCGTGGGGATGATGTTGAGGGGCTCAGGAGTTTTCCACGACATGCGTCGATAAAACACGGTGGAAAAGGTGGCGAAAGAGCCTCGTTTCGTTCAAGTATGCATGCACAGGGGTGTGTACACATTAGGCTATCTATCGTATCCACCGCGTGGTTGCATGTAAATGAAGCGTATTAAAGTCAACGACAGAGCCCCTGGGGGATTGACTCCCCAGTGGCTTTTTCGTCCAAAGTAGAGCAAGAAAATGTAAACCCCACAAACTCAGCAACCGCAAAGGACTAGTCGTAAAAGTGGCAAGGGCGATAAAAACAGCGGACAACGAGGGCCCCGTCGACCCCCCCAAGTATAAAATGTGCTCCCTAACGGTGGGCAATAAAAAGAATATTCCTCTTGAGGGGATTGGCACAGCAATTTGAAGCACTGAAGTGGCAAGAGGGTGAGGGTGGATAAAAATCGAACGTGCGCTCTTCAATGGATGAGGGGTGGGTGAAAATGGCGAGTTTTACGCCACACGCATCCCAAAAAAAAATGTCAACCTGGATCGGTTTGAATCATGCCGGCAATCGATTTGTTTCATATCGAATCAACGACATGAATCAACGGTGACTCAAAGAAATTGAAAAATTCTCGTCATGATGATTTAGAACTATTTTTAAACTTGATTCAATAATTCAAGCCGCTTTTCTTAGTTAGATTCAGATAATTCTTCAATTTGACTTCAGTCGATGCTTCCATTTAATTCAAGTGAATTTTTCGGTTCGAGAGTTATTTTGATAGGTAACCCCTTTATTGGACCAAGCTCGGATGATTCAACTTGAATCAATTAAAAAATGGAGAATCCAGCCGACTTCCATTGGAATTGGAATTTTTAGTCTGATACGCGAACCCCAATGATTTCAAATTACAAAGCCTCGAAACTCTCCATTTTTTTAATTCTTCTCGGGAGCAATGGTAATGGAAGAGAAGCGAGTGGTCAGGTTGGGGTATAAAAATGGGCGAAAATGGATGGAAGGATGAGACGGTAGCTAGGTTTCACGATAAAATGGAGGGGCTCGAAAGAGAACAAATAAAATGAGTTAGTCTCGCCGGTTTGGTCTATATCGGTGAAGTCTGATTTTTTCGATATTGGCCCTCTCGTTCGCTTTTTCCTATCCTCCACTCATCAATTTTCTATCCCCCTCTTCTTTTTTTTTATCAAAGCCAGCAGTGACGTCCATCTCTTTACTTTACCATTCGGCGCTTCACTTGAGTCAAAAAAAGACCGACTAAAAATGAAGGGAAGCAAATAAAAGAAAAAAATCGGGGATTCAGGAAAATTGGCGGGGGCATTGATCAATGATATATCTATACCGGAGTTCGCTTAATGGGTAAATGAATAGATAATCAGTGAAGAGGGGAGGATGTGAGGGGTAGAGACAGACTTGGATATATAAATGGTGGATATTTGGGGTGGGCAGCAACGAAATGGAATTATTTTCGCTGGTTGACGATATTTTTCATGCGTGAATTTTACGGATCCGTGACTCTCGCGTTTCGTATAAATATATTTTCACCCCCAATCCACCGACAATTCACAATCTACACCCCCTCGATACACATACACTGTCTACCACACGTTTGAAAACACATATCGAAAAACAATCCCTCTTTTCATAACGATAACGAACCCCGACGACCGTTGAATTCACGTTGTGTAGCATTTATTTCTGGATTTACCGATTTCACCGGTAATCCACCTGCATTTGCGTTAATTATTTCGTTATGTTTTTGCAATAATAATGCTTGTTGGAAAATTCAGATTTGCAAGTACTCACCTGCTTGTGCATTTCCACGTTGAGTCCATACGACATTTCGTAGTACTGAAAATAAAATAGAGAATTATCAGTAAAATTGAGTGAGAAATCGATATCGTGAGATGTGAATGATCCATGAAGGAAAATTGGTGGAGAATATCGTGGTGTTTTTGACAATCTCAATGATTCCCCTGAGCAATGAAAAACCAAAAAATTCCCCAACTGTCAATTTTTCATCCACAAAAACCCCATCAACTCCACAAATCTCCCTCCACGCGTAAAATGTGTTCTCCAATGTCAAAAATATGTAATGAAAATGAATGACTCGTGCACAAGCATTGATGATTTCTGCAGTAGACATGCACTTCCTCCATTCCACCCACCAAATAATAAACAAATAAATAAAAATAAAATTCAAGTGTATTTCACACATCGAAGAGCGAAAGAGGAGGCGTCGACAAGTGCACACACTCCCCCATCTGTAAACGTGAAAAAAAAAAACAATGTACCACAGGATAAAGCAAAATTGAAGGGAGCTCTCATATCAATTTTTATCATACACCGTAGTATTGGAGGGGGAGAATAAAGAGGATAGTTTTACGGGTAAAGATATATAATTTAACGAGCAAAACAGGGAGTTATGCGAATGAAGAGTCATAAATATTTCTATAGAGTGCGGTTTAGCGAAAAGCTGAAGAAAACTCAAACTATCGAGTCGACCTCGTCGGGTATACGATGAACGAGGCTTTAACGAGCGTTCCGAATACCACGGTAGTCCACCGCGTTATCCCGCGTACCAACGACCATTGTAAACGTCTTTTATGAGGATCATAAAGAGACTGGTTGGTGCACACACCATATACATGTACATGTTTGTGCAAGACGCTAACTCGGGGGAAGAGAGAATTTTAACAGGCATTCAACGCATCCACATGGATATACTTATTTCGGGGGATATAAGTGGCACCCCCTCACCACCATAAACTATTACCATTCCCGTGAATTTGTCCGTTGACTTTCATCAACTACATGAATTTTAATCATTCAACACCAATCAAATCACCTCAACATGATGCCTTTCGAAATCGATTCTTGAAATTCATTGATTTTTCGGCGTGACTCAAGTCGATTCAATTCCACTTTCACAAGAAATAAATAATTCAAGATTCAATGAGTTAATATGGATAATAATAGTTTAAGTCACACAGAATATCTGAGGGGAAGATAGTTGAAGTGCATTGGGTGTAATAAAATGATCGAAATGTGGAGCGACTGAAAGTGGTTGATGGAGTTAAATACGAAAAGACGGAAGTAAAATTCTAACGATAAAACGAGGCAAAAGGAATAATTTCCTCTCGGCTTTTCTCGTCGTAATTAGTCTTTAATTATCCCTGGGGTTATTCCGAGAGGTGCGGTAAGAATTGTCAGAGAGGAATGAGAGAATCAGAGTGAAGTCGAAATGATAATGGATAGCGATGTCAAGTGGTAACGTCACGTTATTCCATAATTCGGTAACATCTTTTGAGTATATAATACTCGCTGGATATACATGGACGAAGAATAGTTTTCAACGATCTGTCGGGCGATCGTAAAAGTTCACGAGCTCGACAATTACATGAGGGGGTCGTAAAGACGAAATGCCCGGTGGGAGATTAGGTTAGATGGATATAACATTTGAATATATGTTGCCTGGGAGATGGTGAGTACTTAAGGCTATTGCTGAATCGAAATATAAAAGTTTACCTCCGTTTTGCTCGATCGATAAAGAAAAAATAGTGCGGGGTGAAGAAGGAGAATTATTGATATTGCGATACCAAACGTTTTGAGTCATGTGCGACGAGATACTGTGCCGAGTGAATCCCAGGAATTGGAAAAATCCATTCGATATACGTTATAACAGTGCTACAACTGAGAGAAATTTCTTTTTATCAAGTATTATTTACACGTCCCATGGAGAGAGCATGTAGACAATTGTAGATGTTTTGAGATTGATCCAAGCCATTCAATTCGATATTCTAGATTCTCGAGTTGAAACGGGATAAATTTGCTGAGGAAATATTTCCCCGCATCGAATACATATTGATCAAGATCAAATGCACAATTTTCTTATCGATATATGTCGCATTCTCGTAATGTTATTATTGCTGCACATATTTCTTGGTACAAGTACTTGATAAAAAAAAATTTAACCCTCCAGTGGTGAGATTTTAGAATCTACGGAGTGCAAGCCAGAGCAAGTATATTCAGAGATTAAATCCCGATAAAGAGTGATATGTACTCTGATGTTTCAACGACCCGAGATTTTATTAACTCACCATGACGTAGTGGCGCTGCATCTCCGTCTTCTCCTGGGCGAGTTTCTCCAGCTCCAATTTAATACTGTACAGAACAAGCAGGAAAACGCACGTGTAAGCTAAACATTGGTAAGTGCAGGCAGACATTCAGAAGCGTCGATTATTTCATCATGAGTACAACACGATGAGATAATTGAGGTGATGAGATATCATGATTTGGCCAGTGAGAGAAATCCGTAGCAGTATTCAGATAATTTGAACGTGTGTAAAATTGAAATTCATTAAAATCAGATTTACATATTATATATATTAATATATTAATCACTCAGTAAAAGTGAATTTCTCCCAATGAAGAGCCAAAAATTAGTAAATGAGGTTGAACCATTGTCCACCAGAACGAGGAATTGACGATGAAAAATTCCTCGACAAGGAAAACCTATCGAGTACCATAATTACACAGCGAGATACTCGTAATGATTGTCGTCTAACCGAAGGAAGAGCCTCGCGGACATGTTAAACTCGTATCTGATATGATCGAGGACGGTGGGAGTAAGAGGATTGTGTGCACAGCAAGCCGTTAAAACATACAATTAGTGCAGCGACAGGAAACATTGATAATGATCCTCGGTCGATGTCGTGCGGGTTATAATTAATACATGTCTCTTGCTCATCGTTCCATCATAGCCATCGCACCACGCATAAACCCCTTCTTTCGCTCCTCAGATCGTAGATCGTGAATAACATAAACTATTGACATTGGCTGAGATACCCAACATTATTCCCTCGACAATTATCATGATTTATCGACGACAACGAGAACATAACAAATAATATGCCTACGTTACGCTTCAAACTCTCAAGTAATTTGTACTGTGGAAAAATATAAATTCGATTCGGACTTGTTTTATTTCAATATTCAAAGAATATCAATAAATTGGATTCGGAAATTCATAAATTTTTATGAAGAATATATATTTTTAACTGGGGAAATTATATCCTCAAATTGGGGTAACATTCTCAAATGAGCGACCAAAAATTCTCGAATCGGAAATATGAATTTTTGGTTTTCCAATGGAGAATTTTCTGTCATAGAACCGGGATTCAATGAAACTCGAATGGAATTTATTTTTTTCAAACACATATACAGTTCAGCCTGTCAAATAAACCGTCCAACCTTACGATTTCAAACGAAACGTGCAAATACGATTCTATGATAAATATGCGGTTAATTAATCAATGATAGCTGATGATTTTGTTATGCTTTGATGATCAATGTAATGAATGATGTAAAAAAAATAATGGTGTCGTATTCGTGATCGATTGATTGATTTCCATTTGAATATTTTCCACGAGATCGGCTTACCATCACGTAATGCCTCTGTATCTCAATTTTCTCACTGGCCAGTTTCTCGCACTCCAATTTTAGGCTGTACGGGCAATAAGAATATGTCAATTAAATCCAATGTCGTGTTTTTCGTGGTATCGGTTGAATCACGATGAACGAATAATAAAATGAAGGTGAAAATAAAAAAAAAAACTACCACGTTCAATGTACCTATAAACATCTTCACTATCCAATGGAATATGTCATAAATTCTCTCGCCACCCTTTACTGCGAAGTCGTAAAACTTCTATCGTTCCTGCAATATGATATATGCAAGAGTGCTTCTACACATAGAATACTTTCATCTTGAAATACTCCCATCTTCGAGCATCATTCTCCCCACCGTTCACTCGGGCTATCATCCTCAACGGCCAGAGAATTTATTGCTGTTTATGGCTCACTTGCTATATTTCGTATGCAAATGCGTAAAGTATGAACTTCCACGGATGATGATTATTATATTCAACTTTTGCGGTGAATGAATAACAATTTTCACGAAACATTCTTTTCCGAATTTATGGAAACTCGAAATTTATCTAAAATCCCTATAAATTATCAACTTAAAAATCATTTTTTTTTTTCTAATTTTCAAGACAAAAGCGTTTCCTGAAGAAATGAATACTAACTCGAATTGAAACTCAAATTATTGTAAAATCCTGAACTAATTTTCAACGCATTACGATAACGTTCCCCTTTTTCTTGAAGAAAAATTACTTCCGCCTCTATTCACATGACATTATTTTCAATATGTATTCTGCTTATCTGAAATGTTTAATTCAGGGAATAAGTGGAGATAAAAAATTTCGAGGTCTTCGTGATCTCCATAACTCGAGTTATTATTCGCACCGAAATTTTTAATCAATTGAACAATACTGGTAGGGAAATGAAAATGCCTCGAGCCGTCAGGTACGCGAGATCGGAGAATAAAACCATCAGCATGACAGTTGTTCGAGAATAGCCCATAAAGATCGATATCAATTGAACGCCAAGTCTCGTTTGACAGAGATCAGCTATTGCTGCAGTCAGCGACGATTTCCGCCGGCTATGTATGAACAAACACTGAGTTTCAATGTACATAGCTTCCGGTTGAGTAAACAATTATACGCGCCCACTCTGACAGACGGTTAGAGCATTTTGTCCGACAAGCGTACCAGTCTCTGTGTCTCTTACTTTTCCACTGGATTTTCTATTGCACCAGAATAAAAAAACAAAATCAATGTGAAATACTCAGTGTTTGCGCACATGCTACAGAATCTCCCATTTTACAACGAAAAAAAAAAAACATTCTGGTTAAATTTCACTGGCTCTAAATAGCGGCTTTTGAAATCTTTACTTGGATTTGATCTGAGCCTTCGAAAAATTTTAAGTTGAGATTTATCTGTTATTCGAATTTTAACCAAAATTCTGAATCTGAAACTTTTGAGTATGAGAGTTGAGACTGCATCTTGAAAATTACTAATTTCTCCAAAACTCGGTCTTTCGAAAGTCCCAACATGATAATCGTGGAACTCTCAAGTTAGAACCGACGAATGTCTCATTTTTTTGCGATCATAAATCTCACTATAAAATTAGCTTGTTTTGCGTGTATCAGTCTAGGCTAAAAACACACTTTTACACTTCGATCGCTCGAAGTAATTCAGATAAAATCTTAACTCACTTAATAATTGATTTTATTATTAATACAAAAACGACTTACTTGTGGTATTGGGCTTGGAGAAAGTTGAACTCCTCCTTGATCCGATCGCAGGACTCACCAACGGTGAATTTGAATGGCTGTCCAGGTTGCGGTGGACCCTGCAACAAAAAAATATCAAATAAATGAACAAAAGTTTCCGAAACGGATTTTCAATGGCATGTGGCAGGTTTTACCTCTGCCCGAAATGGATCATGCATTTTGTAGTATAACCCATCCACTCCCGGTGGTATATATCACAAAAGCAGTTAGAAAAGGCAATACATAGAAATTCACTGAAAATATCAGGACGCCTCATGCTCCGATCGGCAGATCGACTGATCCCATTTGCCCAGAGCAAAGCCGATCTGGCCAATCCAATTTATTTATTGGCTTTTCCTCTCGGCATATACACAGGGAGATGTAAAGGTAACCAACAACATATGCACATCAACAACTAGCCGATGTATGCGATTATTTTATGCGCCAACCGCAACACTCGTACATTCGTTTGTGGCCTTTTTTTCTTCTTTTTATAAACGACAGGAGAGAGGGACAAACGCTTTTACACGGAAACGGATGCGACCAGTGTAAACACGAGTGTGAAACAGTATAAAGGGAATTGGGATAAAAATAAATAAACGAATGGACGAATGAATCGGAGAAAATTTAATTGAATAAACAATGATGCTAAATGACGGAAGCAGTCGCTTTGAACGTTCGATGGCTAGGCGAATATTTGAGGGGAGAATATAAATTAAAATATTGGTCGTTTCATTTTTTTTTAGTCATTTTATGCCTGTGTGTCGGCAATTGTGTATTTTGGAGATCAATAATGTTTGGAAAAACTGGTAAACTTTATGAAATTTAATTTCAATAATTTTATCAAATATTAAATCAGACCCCTGAGGTCATAGCGAAAAAAATTATTTTCAGCATTTAAAAATTACCAAATCAATCCAATCACTCAATAGTTTAAAAATCTTAAAATTGATTATTTCCATTTTTTTCATGACGTGAATTAAGAGGGACAATTGCAAAAGATGACACATCGACTTTCTTCAAAAAGAAAAACACCGACTTTAAGACCCTTTAGGAAAATTCAAATTTATTTGCATTGCATTCACATCAGAAGGAATAAATTGTTCCGTGATGTAGTGGGCGGTATGGATTTTGAATATTGTAGCATTGGGATTCTCAACAAGAGTTTTCACGCTGATACGTTGAACTCTTCTAGAAATGCGGTCTCGGTTTCACCACGAAAACTGCGACAGGGCTGCGGCCAGGAACCGAGCAATGACCACGTGATGCCCAACTCTCGGAACAGCCACATTTCCCATTTCCTTCTCGACTCCACTCCGCCCTTGTATTCCACAAAATTTCCCAACTGTCGCCCTTTTCTCCCACAGAGAATCCCCCAGGAAATTGTTTTTCCTCCTTTCGTATATTTTCAATATGATTTAAAAACCAAAAATTTTCGATCTCGACCTCAATTGATATTAACCGCAAATAACAATTAATTAATCCTTCCCCATACAAAAATGAGAAAGGAAATGGATTTTGCAATATCCCGAATGACCGCAAGGGTAAGACCCGTAACCCGAAACCGACCCGCCACGACAATGGCGTCATAAAATTTTGAAAATAGCAAAAAATCGCCAAAATTCGGCAATTATTGCAGAAACCAAGAAAAGTTGCGAATTATTGAAAATATTTTGCGTGGGAACAGGAAGCGGCGAATTTTTTTTTTATCGCGAAAATTAATCTCGTTTTGAATCAAGAATAGAAGGCTCCAACTAATATCCAGACTAATCTGTTCTTTAAATCAAAACCCGAGGGTCATTGGGATCGATTACAGAACGAGTGCCGATACTCATTAAAGTCCATTAAAGATCATTAAAAATCATTAAAGATTATTAAAGATTATTAAAGATATTTAAAGATTATAATCTCGGCGATAATGTCACGCGATGGGCGATTATAATATCCACAATGTACGATGCAATATGCGTGATCTTAATAAGCCCACGTGCTTCCCATGTGACGCGTACAGGGAGTTTGAAAACAGGAGGGGGGTATGAGCGGTGTAACGTTGTTTCACGTCGCGATCCTATCACCTTAATTGCCCGGTGTGGGTTAAACTGCCCTGAGCGTAATTATCGGCTAGGAGAGATCTCATACTCCGTATACGAGTCGTGTTAGCGAGTATATGCAAAGGGTCGTGCCATCGGGTGTTCCAAAGTTTTGGGGCGCAACAGATCTCATTAGTATGTGTGCGAGGTGACGGAAATGTACCACGAAATTACACCTATATTTTGGTATGTGGTGATTGAGCATCGAAGGTTGATGATGGTGACAATTTATGAGCTCTAAATTTTCTCCGGGTGGTATTTTACCGCTGTTTCATGAGGAAATTTATGGAATCAGATTTAAGATCAATTAACTGAGGGAATTCGGAGGGAAATCGGGAAAATTCAGGGGAATTTAATTTTTTTTATTTGACTCTGAGCTGAGCAAAGGACTTGATCGAAATTTTAAGTTGTCACTTTTCATATATTTTACGCTGACACTTGCATTAGTATTAATATGAGTTTGTAAAGCCTCAGCTTGAGATTTCGCTAGAATATCTTTTGCATTCCTTCCTTCGGGTGAAAATTAATATTTGGATTAATAATCCATACAAGTCGCGAAATTTTCATTGAAACTTTAAACTCAACGCCTGTTTTCCCTCCTGAATCAAACAGACTATGACTCACGTAAACCCCTCTGTATCTACGATAACTTAGTACATGTTTACATTACATCTCCATCACTTCCTCCTCGACCTCATAACCCCTCATAATCGATTCTCAGAAATGAAGCTGTATAATCATGCGTAACGAATAAAACTATCACCTCGGAATGGTTAATGAAAAAATGATTAAGTCGTTATCAGCATCAAGCAGTCACATCTCAGTGATAAAACGCATGGAAATGAACATACGGAATTATATTCGAGTTTATATACTCCTAGGTATACAGCTCCATGGCACGGAAATGGCTCGGACGTCAGTCACGCGAAGAAGAGGTGTAATTACGGAGTAATTGGGGGAGTCAGGTAGTCAAGCTAAACGTTCTCCCGCACTGTCGAGCTTTGCATTACAGCAATCGAGTAGCTCTTTGCCCTTCGGTGGTAATGGAGAAACGCCCCCAAGGTACCCAATCAGTTTTGCCACGCCCCGATGATAAAACATATGGCGTTAAACCCCTAGGATTAACTACAAATACTCCACATTAAATTGAAATTTTCAACCAACCAGTCGTCATTATTTTTTTATTCTCCATTTTATTCATCGATTTGTCTAATAAAAAAAAAAAAAAAAAATCGAACATGAATGTCGTATGGCATTATATGTTTTAAAATAGCTAATGATATATAAATGATAAGCAATCATATTTTTTATGATCTTTCTATTTTAATTCTGTATGCATAGGAAAAATTGATTTCGAGATTTGACGAACATTGACGTGAGTGTTGAAAATCTTCATTTTAAATATTCTAAACTTTCAAGTATTCAAGAATCTCCACATCTTTTTGAACTTGAAAATTCTCAAGTCTCAATTGAAGATCATAAACCTTGAAATAAATAAAATATATATTTATCCTGATAAATAGTGTGAAAAATCGTACTTTGAGCCACTGCATCCGGTTAGAATTGATGAGGGGTAATAATGAAATATTGGATGACTTCTAACGTGTTCGGGATGCTAAGACCGATGGTCTACTAAACTGGAATGGTAAAAAACCGTCGTAATAAAATACAATGCAATGTGAAAAAAAGTATCGGGGGATGAGGGCAGAATGAAATCGAGTCAGTGTAGATAGTTATCTGTCTGCGTGCGTTTAGCAACCCACCCAACATCTTCATGAATAATGCATTACAGCTGGAGTATGCCGATTGTACCTATATGTAATATGCATGTATCCCCAGCGAAATATTCGTGATCACTCGCGTGCCAGATACGAATCGGAGGGGGCATAAAACATCCATAAAAATGAAAGCTTTCGCTTCTCTCTCCTGATCGCGGAAGAGATAGATTTGGCAGACTGTTTAATGCGGAGGAATTTACTCAGCAGATATTACTTGAATGCAAAATAATACTGAAATGAAAGACAAGATGATTCGGAACTATAAAATATGATCCAGTGGATCAGGCTCTTCAGGCCATTGAACTTTTGAGACGACCGGATCCAGTGGCGAATATTTGGACTATCTTGTTCAACTTTTTATTGGTATTCACGATAATATTGGACCTGTGATGGGGGGGAAATGAGTGGTATGTAATCAACATCCAGGGAATATTTACATTGAGGAACTCGCTGACGAGGAATTCCCGTGAGAATGCCAAGAGGATGTTTTAGCCGAGGAAAAAAAATATGGGAATGCACGATTTTAATGTTTCAACCGGTGAAATTTGCGCTTAATTTATCTACCTTCCCTGAAAACTCAGGGTTTTGAATATTATTTTACTCTAATTTTTCCCTCTACACAATGAAAAAATGGAGAATCGGAAAAATTTGAATAAGTATTTTCTTGAGTGCTGAGGCCATTAGAAATTTCAATGAGATTTTCCACGGAATTTCTAGTAATAAAACTTAAGATTTTTAGCTATTGGCTGAATCATCAGTTGAGGTTTTGAATATTTTAGAAAAATGTCAATAAAGGTAAATTCTTCAAAGTAATTATTAAGCTCGTAAAAAGCAATTAAAACCCATCGACATTCTTCTTCAATTTTTGAACATTCATGAGGAAACTAGAGCTATGTGAAGTTGGCATCGAAGTTTGAAAAATCTAACTTTTTTTTGTTGGTTTGGATTGTACTCATTGAGTACTTGAATGTACCCTGTGCACTTTTTTTTGTACCCTCTTACTTTAGCCCTGAAGCAGGGGGGCAAAATCGTGCAGAATCGGAGTTCAAGAA